AATGTTTTCTTACTTTCACAGAAACAACTGTTACTGGAAATATTTTCCACAGCATGTTGCAAGTGGAGGTAAGTAAATCAGCTAGCACACTGCACATTTTTTAAGGAAAAAAGTTTCTAAAAATGAATGAGGATTTAATAAAAAATGTCTCTGAGGTACGTAAGTCGTGCCCATAATAGAATATTTTTCAATTTTCAACCCTGTATAGARAATTTTAAACCACTAACAGATGTATGAAACAAAAGCAAAATTGTCCCTTATTCTCAGATAGAAACAGGGAAACCAAAGAGAGGCTCTCAAACATTTTCCACAAGAAAGAAATTTGCTCACAATTCCTTCTCCCTTTAAATTGTTTCTGTGGCAAYACATCTGGTGCTGTAATTCTGGGCCAGGACATTAACTATCCTGAAAGAAGAAAGTTATGTTGTTGTTCTGTCTGCAAGAATGTGAACACAGGGAGATCTGTGAGCACACGTAATCAGGTCACCCCTCCACACAGCATCAGCTAGGGATATTTATGCAAAGCTTCAAATTGCAAGTTTTAAACCATTTCAACAACACTCAGAGAAAACTCTCATGGTAAACACAGTCTATGAGCCAGGGGTTGTTTTAAATTAAATGATGAGTGCTTTGCTGCTGCTGTTCCTACCGTGTGAAATAAATAAATTATTCAGCTAGGAGGAGCAAGGTTCAAATAAATAAATTATTCAGCTAGGAGGAGCAAGGTTCAAATAAATAAATTATTCAGCTAGGAAGAGCAAGGTTCATTCCCAATCATAACCATAACTCTGCCTGTGTGATGGAGCACGAGTGATGTTGATTTGTTATCTGCCAGCACTACAAACATCCCTGAATTATCAGCACTTCACACTGAGATACGTCAGGAGCACGTGAGGCCAAACCATGAGGAGTCTGTCAAACTCAGCTGYCCCAGGATGGGTTCAGCCTCCCAGAATCCCAGAATTGGATTTTCCAGAATTGGAAAAACCCTCCAAAACCATCGAGTCCAAGCTGTGCCTGATCCCCACATTGTCCCCAGAGCAYTCAGTGCCACCTCCAGCCCTTCCTGGGACAATTCCAGCCCTTCCCCAAATCTCCCTGGGCAGTTCCAATGCCTGACCATCCTTTCAATGAAGACATTCTTCCCAAAACATGAACTCTTCAAGCTCTTGAGAACCAACAGATTTTATGTTATGGAAAAAAWGGAAGCAGATTTTTGCTACTTCATCAAGCAGACCAGAGATGGATTCGTGGAAAGAACATATCTGATGAGCAATAAAATATCACTAACACAGTTACTGTCCCAATAATAATTGCACATGTTCTCCATAAAACAGTTTTTATTATTTAATTTGAAACAGATAAATTTGCATCTAGAGCAGTTACATATAAATCTGTTGGCTAACTACACTTAGGGCATTTYTGTATTAATGGCAAGATCATCTTAGTGTTTTGATCTTCTAAATTAATAGTGATTAAAAGGCTTTRTTGTCTGAAAAACAAGGTTTTGCCCTAAAAAGTTGAATTGAATAAAAATTAGASTTTTCAGGCATTTGGTCTTTGAAGACATACTGGTTTAAAGCAGTCTGTCCTCAGGGAGAATAAACTGGCAGCAGAAATGGAAAAGTTGAAAAAAAAAAGTGGATAAAACCTGGTATTTCATAAATCTGTGCATCCCTTTGGTGCTTCCGGAGGCAGCATCTGAGGGAGTTAAAGCCARGGCCCTGAGCACCTGTAGCCATTAAAGCCTGGCTCATGTCCTGTGCACGACTCKCTGTTCTAATCTTGGATTGTCACCAGCCAATCACCTCCCAAAACCCAGCTCTGGCCAGCAGCACTCTGGATAACYCAACTCTGTCTGTTCCCTCCTTCTCAGCCTTTTGGCTAAGACCAAGTGTGCAGATTTAACTMATATTAAACCTACTCTTTTACACAAATTATCTCCTTCGCTTCCAGTCTTTCTATTTATTTCACCCACATGGAACAAATTAATAACCCTTGTGAGACAGTTCCCCCTCCATTGCTTTATCTGGTACAGCTTTCTGTGCCCAGATCCTGTTTGGTCCTGGTGTTTGGGGTTACAGAGACCCCACATTGTCACTCGTCAGACCCCTGAGACAGACACACATGAAGATCAGGACACAGACTGAGTCTGGCTTCCCTTTCTAACCAGAGTGGCTCTGTTGCACTTCTCAGACTCCTCATGAGGATATGGCAAAGGAGCATTTGGGCAGGAATTACTGTGGGAGGGAATAAAGGGAATAAAGGGAATAAAGGGAATAAAGGGAATAAAGTGACATTGGTGGATGTGCTGTTACAGGATCCCAGTCCTTGCCTGGGTTGCTCCTGAGGAGCTCAGAGCTCGGGAGAACATTGCAGAGCAGCTGTACAGCTGCTGTGTGTCCTGACAGAAGGAAACCATCCCATTGTCACCCTGCCCCTTAGGGAATAGATGACATAACTGCCTGCTCAGCTCCATCCCCCTGCTCCTGGCTCTGTGCAAAAACACAACAAAACTGCTCTGCTGCAGCTCCTGACTGACTCCAGAAYGGAGCACTGGTCCCCAATGCTGACCTGCACCTCAGAAAAGCCCTTTCATTCCCCCAGAGGGTTCCAGCCTCTGACTGGAGGGGAATTTTGCCAAGTTATTGATCAGCCGTGTTGCATCTCACACATCTCTAGACTGGGCATAAAGAGGCTGGGGCTGCCACTCCATGGCAGGTTCTGTGCAGATTTTCCTGCCCTGCTGCATGTGGTGCTTCTGTCATTCAGTGTGCAGAATTCAGAGCAGCAGCAGGGACGGGATCAGCTGCAGCACAGGAATACAACTGAGAGGAGTTTCTCATTGCACACTCCTTTAGCCACTGCATCCCTCTCAGATGTGCCCCTCCAATCCACATGGAGCATTCCCYCAGACAAATCTGCACTGTTTACTACCATTGCAAATGATCTTCCTCTGCTTTTCATTTTTTAATTAAGGRCTTTCAAAATAAAAAAATGTAAAGCACCTCATCAATAGGTGTAGTTCCCATTTTGCAGCTGTGAAAACACAGGTATAGATGGATTAAATCTTGATCCCAACAAAGGAAATGACTGAATCAGGAGTTTCAGTACTGGTGCTGGTTCAATACTCAAGAAATGGCTCCAGAAATATGTAACCTTATTTTTCAAATTCCTTCAGGTTTCTTTGGTTGATGAACAACTCTATTCCATATGGCCCAACTTATTTAAACCACTTTTTAAAAGGGGAAATTAAACTCTGTCTGAATCAAAATGTAACTGGGCTGGGACCCAAAACCTCAACTCGTATTTATACGAATAAGCAATAAAAAATAAAAAGCAAATAAAATGTAATCTTTGCACAGACAAAAACAGTTAACTAAAATGCAACCAGCCCATGCAACAACACCTCCAAAAGGCAAACTGGATGGGATGGCATGAAGCTTGTCCTGCTGCTCTTACTGTTCCACCTGCCGGGGGTGTTTCCTTTACCCCGGATAAAAACCCACCGAGCCTCTTTGAGCGGCTGCAGAAATGTTGGCATCCTTTGAAGCTTCAAGATGCCCGCAGCTCCT